CAATAATTTAGCAGAATCTTTCTATTCAATTCCGCTCCTGAGATAGAGTTGAATTTTTATATTTTTGGAAACATGATTACTGCCAGTTTATTAAGTATTCAGATTTAATGACAACTACTGCAATCACTGAAAAAGTTACCCACAAAGAGCTCAAACTAAAACTTCTCGAGTATGTAATTGTTGGCCTTTTGTTCAAAATAGCAATGTTACTTTAACTCTAAGAGCAAATCTAATATACAATTTGGGTGCAGGGGATTAGTTGTCAAGGTAACTCTCTTTGGTAGGATAGTTACTCAATTAAATGTCATCCTTGCAAATGCGGGTGAAGACTCCAACCAGTACTTTTGTGGGAATTGTACAAAGATATAAAAAATGACAACATCAAGGTAATCCAACAATTATTAACATGAAATTTGATTTGCTATAGTTCGTTGATGAATATACATGCGAATTGATTGAATATTTAGTTTTCCAATATATAATTTTATAATTTTTTGTACAATTCAAAGATTATATTACTAATGCATAAAAAAGAACATTTTCCTTAATAATTAGCTATATATGGTACTTATACAAGTGAAAAGCTTACGTACATATTAAAATATTAAATTAAATATGGTTAAAAAAAGAGATTCCAAAAGATTGTTTTCTTAAGATTAAAAAATGTATATAAGAATTAGGCTACATTTTCTTCTGCCCACCTAAAGTACCTAATGAGACTATTTTCACATTATTGATTGAATAATTTTGAGATTTTGTATTTAACACCTAAAAAATAACATGTACTTCAACAATTTTAATTTATTTTATGTTATTACCATCACTATACAGATTCAAGATCAACCTTCAAGTTGCGGACAATACAGTAGAGGCCGACTTTGTTGTTATGGATAGAGTGGAAGCTAGGTTTTTCAGAATGTTGGTTGAAAGGCTATTCCAAGACAACAACAGAATTAGAGTACCACCACCTGCTCATCTCCTACAAATTGAGGGAATGACGTTGCAGTTCGGCATCAATCTCATAGATTACAACATCGTTAATCCAACAAGTGAGTACACAATTATCAAGATAGGGAAGGATGAGTAAGAGCAGACCATTGACAATATTCCTGACTTGATCGAGGTAAATTATATTTGAATCAAAATGATGGTCAACATTAATTATAAATTTATGCTATTCTCTATTGGATATGGATTTTTATACCATACAAATGTCATACTTAGTTATATTATTTAATATAATTGATAACTTGCAACTGTAGGATGAAGGGAGCTGATGTTTTAAATAACAAAAAAAAAAAAAATTGGCGTAGATGAAATATATTCAAAATGCTGATGTAGGAGAACAAGAATGAAACTGCTAATGGTGAAGGTAATTGATCAGGTGCTACTGCTAGAGATGATGATTATGTTTAGAAGAAGAAAAACATTGTTCATAAGGAAGGTATAAAGACTGGTGAAGGGAAGAAAGAACAAATCATGGATAATGTTCATAATTTGAACGAGGTAAATTCTACTCCAATGAAAAAGATGATTTGTATTTACAAATTTATTTTAACATCAAATTTTGATACTCAATGAAATGCAGGAAAACAAGGAAGAGATAACTGAAATCTAAGAGAAGAAGAAAGAGTCAATTGATATTGGAGATAATTGTGTCGCTATAATGGAGATGAAGACATTATTAATGGTGATGATGGGGTTGTTGCTCATGCCGGAGAAAATGCAAACAAGCCAAAAAGAAAACTTGCAGTAATATCTGATAATGAGGAGTAATTAGAAGGGTCATTTTAATTGGTCTTTAAGAGTCGGCTCATTTGCATGTTGCTTTTCTTTCATCGTTGTAAAAGAAATTTAGTCTATTAGTCATTAATATGTCAGAAAACAACATAATGTTCATTCTTTTAAACTGTTGAACTATTTTAACAATTTCAATTCTCTTATTCTCCCAACCAATTTGAATGTTTGAAGTATTTGAGAAACTTCGATTTTCTTATACTATTGCGTAACTAGAATACAAATTGCTGCCGTTATTTGCGTGATTCAGAACTATTGCGTAACTAGAATACAAATTGCTGCCGTTATTTGCGTGATTCACAACTTAATTCGGCCAACTGGCCGGGTTCTTGACTAGTTGTTGGGTAAAAGAAAAGACAATCAAACACGCTACTGCTGAATAAATGGGAAACACAACAATGCATGTCACACACAAAAAACCATGATACACACATTGATTAATTATCTCACCATCACATCGTCAGATTGGGAAATCAAATCAACCCACGCAAATCATAAGATTCAGCTTAAGCTCAGATAGGCTAGGGAGATTTCATTTAGCCGAAATAAAGGAAGTAAGAGATGGACACAAAGCGGCTCGAGGGTTTTTTCGGTGTGTACTCACTAGGGCAAGCAAAAGCAGCAACGTGGAGCCGTATTAATTAATGGTCGCTGGGTTTCTCATTACGGAAAACTATGCTTGGACCGTAGAGGTAATCGCAAAATTAAAGCTCAATCAATTGCAATTGCAAATCATTTTTTTTAACTGGATTCCTATTTAACGCCCTAAATTTTTAAATTTATCGCCCTAGATTATACTACCCTGACTATTTTGCCCCGATAAAAATAACTCCCATCCGCCCAACCTCTTCCCCTGCCGTTCTTTCTTCCCAGCAATCACCTACGCCCTTTCTAATTCACATGCTTAAATATAATAATTACTAATACTAATAATACATACGAATCATAAAACTAACTTTAAATTCTAAATGCACATGTCCATTTATAATCACAAGAAACCGCCACTGGAAGCAGGGACGGATATCCAACCCGCCTACTCTCCGGCCGCGAGATTGATTTTCTTCCCGCTCCCCCCGGCCGGCAACAAACGTGAAACCTGCCAATTTCAGCGGCATCGGGACGAGTTGAAAACCCGCCGTCGGCAGGCTTAGGACAGGTCGAACACCCGTCTCAAACACGCCGGCGACGGGTTTTCAACCAGTTTTGTTTCCGTCCTTGAAATAAAAAATTACATCAATCTGCGGCTACCTCCACCAACGGCGACTACGAGAGAGGACACAACTTCTCATTCCGCCTAGGCTCGGCGGCAGGGTGGCAACTGGGCGCACTGAACACGGTGAGGCTTGGACTTAATTGGATCGTTTACAGGGGTCGCCGGTCGTTTTTGGGTTTGCAGGCGGCATGCTGTATTTCCAGGAAGGGGGCAAAGACAGGGGTAGGGCGGAGGAATTGAGGGCAAAATCGTCTGCCTGTGTAAATTTAGGGCGATAAATTTAAAAATTTAGGGCGTCAATTATTAACTCCCTTTTTTGTAAAGGCGGAAGACGGGCAAGTCATTCCCAATAATTTGTGGGTTGGATGCAGCATTTCGATTAGTTAATTTATTTGAAAATTCAAACTCATATTAATTACATTTCTGTTTTTAACTTGTTTCAAGTGTGACTGCTCGAGAACTTTACGTCCTCTTGACAATGGCGTAGACAAAATTTTGTATAAGGTTGGTATGATCTAAAAATATATACTTTTTAAGAAAAGTTTTGACCATTCACAGTGTCCCACAATGTCTTCTCATATTTATAAGTATAGTAAGATACGTTCATATGATATCAATCTCAATATATCTTATGAAATAATCATTCATGACTTTGTCACTCATTCAATTCTATTTTTTTTTTCATTTAGCGCATTGCATATCTCGTTTCAACACTTGCTGAGAGGCCTAGGTAGCAACATCGTTAAGTTACGTTTTTCATTTACCATGATCCTAAAAGCTCGGGATTTATATCTAGTTTGAGATAACTTCTAGTCGACCAATAGTAATCTAGTTGAGGTTCAAGTTTTAAGATATAGTTATTAGAGAACTCATTACTAGGATAAAACGAACATAGCGAGTTTCAACAAAAAGAGGATTTGGTGGAAGGAGAGGAATAAAATTTAAAATTTCATACTTGAAGGATGAAGTTATACTTTGTTGTAATATTATTTATGCAGGAACTAGAATGCATTATATATAGATAACAACTAAATTCGTTATTTAAATGTGATTATATTAGAGAAATATTAACTAATGCTGACAGCGTTTAGGGTTCAAATCTCGTCGATACCTAACTATGTATTTATATATACACACTTTCTCCCAAGCCCCTGTGAGTCTTGGGACCCATCTTTTTGTGCCTTGGCTCGGCCTCTGCCTCTCGAGCAATGACTTTAACACCATGTTGGCAACCAACTCATCCCAAACAACTCAGAAATGTTCAAAATTGAATCCCATGCCAAATTTTCTGACAACAACACTCGTGTATGTTGGGTTTATTTTCTCTTTTCATGAATACCTAGCAACATAAGATGTACGAATGATGATCAACCAAAACAACACATCTATGGTCGACCTCCACTAACATGTTCTCAAGAGACGACCGACTTACTCGCGGCTAAGTGGTAAGGTTGTTAACCCGGATTCGACCGGACGTTTGAATTGAGTTGACTTGGACACGCGGCCCTCTCTCACCGGGTGCCAGGACATTAGTTGGGTGAAACTCAGTTCCGGTCAAGCACATCCAACCCGACCGGTTTTATACCCGACTAACCCGAACTGCCAGTATGAAGTCTACCCAGTGAAGTACTAATAACATAGACCTTCGAATCATATCTTCCATCCTATTTCCATGCGTGGAGTTGTGGTGAGTAATTTGCTAGGGTTAGGGCTCTATATAGCTAGGCCGGGCTTAGAGAGGCAGTGGCGTGGGGAGGGAAGACTGGTCTGAGTACTGTGCACAGTGAAATATGTTGGGAAGGGATCACTGGATCGATTGGCCAATCCCCATAATAATGGATGTGATGTCTATATTCTTGTGCATGGTGGGTGTAATCGATTGTTCACTGTGTATTTGTACTCCTCATTCCGTCGACGACTCAAAAGTCAAATCTCTCGTTTTCGCCTATGTTTTTGTTCATTTTCACTACAGAATAGAATTATAAGTCACTAACAAGAAAAGGATTGATTCTACAATTGAATAGTCAACCCAAGAGTCGGACCATATACAGTCTACTTCTAAGCAGTGTCCATGAAACCGTACCGTACCGGCGGTTTAACCACGAAATATCAGTATCGGAGGCTAGACCGATATGCGGTATTTACTGGTATAACGGTTGAACTACGGTTAAACCACGGTTTTACCATAAAATACCCTATCGCTGACTTTTCCTGTACGGTCTCCGGTACGGTTTCATGGACCATGCTTCTAAGGTAAATTTGTCTTTAATAAAAAATCGACCTACTCGTACACTAGGAGGTTCAGTGCGCCACCGGCCCCGTCTATGGATGTCGTGAAATGAAAGTCCAAACATTACTACGCATCTTTGAACAAGCTCTTCATTTACTAGCAATACACTATCCCACAGCTATCACTAATATAACTTTCTACCTTTTACCAAATCCCATTTCGGGAACAATGAACCGCAAATGAGATTCTTCAAAATCCATGACTTTGCACCAGAATCCAGATCCATGGCAGGGAGATTACCCTTCTAGCTTGCCAACTGTTGAACGAATGCCAGCCGACATTCCCTCCCAAAGTCTCTCATGTCTTGAAATCGTTCGGCCGGGCTTGTCAGAAGTCATCTCTTCGGACACTGCAAACCACAGGACATTAGATTTGATCAAAATGATGCTGGAAAAGGACTCGGTCTGAATCAGTAGGATACATGATACTTACCGATTTCTTCAGTTACTTGAAGGAATCATTCCCATTAATCCCGTATCATAATCAAGCTTGTAACTGTATCCCTTAGAACCAGTTTGACACGCTGAAGTCGCGTAGCTTGCTGAGGTGTCTCTCCATGTCTCGTCTAGTCTTACCCCATTCCTCCCTCTCGATTATGGTGGTAGGGTCGTCTCTCTGAGCCTGCAATCAGCGAGAAGCATCAGGACAGATCGAACCAGCCAGGAAAGAAACTCGATTGCAGATGCCGTAGGACTGGGAGTATTGTTACCGAATCAATTATCTTGAAGGAAGTCCCGTTATCTCGTATAACAAGCAAGTCGTTCTTTCTATCCCTGTTTCTCCCGCCCGGAACAGTCACCTATATCAAGACATAAATGATAAAGCAACAGATCACATGAAAACACAAGGGTTGGAATCAGAAGCAGACATAAATCAAGGTTCTTTAGACATACAGTAAGACTGAAGGATAGAAGAAATAAATCTTCCGCCTAAATTATTAATGCTCAAGCCATAAAAACCAAACAAATCAAGTGATGCAAAGTTTTAACAGAACAGTGAAATGCGAATTCATAAAAGAGCTCATACTGAAAAAGACAAAATTCCAATTCCCAGTGATTAGACTGCTCTTAAGCTTGCAGGTAAACTTAGGCAATAGGTTTTTATTCCATGAATGAAAGAGATATGGAAGGTATTAATATAAAGCAATAACTTGCCTCCTTTCTTGAGGTATTGGAAGGCTAAAACAAGTCTAGTATTACTTAAGGAATCAAAATGTGATTGCCTAATCAGGGTGCTCTCCAAAGTAAACCTATTTAAGACCTACATTTTTAAAACTAAAAGACATTGGGCTCGATTTGTTTCACTTCATATCCAAGAGGAGTAGGATTCAACAAAAAAATTAGAAATAACTGCCAGCGACCTATTTCCTTCTTAGTGCTGATCCAGAAAGTACCCATATGATTTTCCCACTTATAAGAAATCAATTAGGACAACTGTAGAAGTGTCAATTATGGGAAAGGATAGAAATAGTGAACAATAGAAGTCAAGGCAACCAGACTAAACTAAAATAACCCACCACTACTTTTGCTCTGGTTATGGACTTTGTTTTGGAATCTATGATGTAAACTTCCTCAAAGTCCAGTATAAACTCGGGATCTCCCTGCCTGCGATTCCTGTAGTGCTTTGTCAAGAGTACCTTAAACGAAGAAAGCAAGAAACTCGAATTAGTAGCATGGGGCAAGAAACGCATTGTATGCAAAATGCAACACCGTCATAACTTACCTTCCACACCTCCCTCTCGGATTTATACAAAGGATCTCGGGGTGCATCAATCGGTGGTTCTGTCACGTTGTAACATCCATAGTTACTCTTTGCACATCGAATATACTGTAAGTTTTACCCAGAAGACATGACACCATCATCAGTGTGAAATAGCAATAACATTAGTTCATCAAACTCAAATTCAGACACCATCAGAGTGATTTGTGAAATAGCAAATAAGATCAGTGCATCAAACCCAAATTCACGAATCTCAAGTTACCCTGCATCAAATGGTAATAAGCCTATTGGTTTCACCAATGTAACTTATTTGTACACAAAAGCTCACATCAACACAAGCTTAATAACGAGCTTGATGGCTCAACAATCCATAATCAGAAACTCATAATTGAGACACACCAAGAAATCAAGCTACAACAACACAGAACTGGCAGCATAAAGTAGCAAGCATTTCAACAATAACCAAAAGAAACCATCTTTTACTGATAAACTACCTCAAAGGTAGTTTGGAAGCTACACTTAATGGTCTAAATTTAATGTTTCTAAACCAACCTGGAGAACAAGCTACAACATCATAAACAGTTCAACATTTCTGGCCAGTTAACTTTACCTTCTGCGGCATAGCACCAAGAACTCTGGGGATAGCATAAACATCAGTATCCGGCGGAGTAACATACATCTACAAAAAGAAACCAACAGAAGAACCCAGAATATGTCAAATACAATCAAGCAACTAACCAATCAAAGAATCAAAAGAAAAATGAGGGAAACCCTACTCAGAACTTACCTCCCGGAAATCAAACACATCAGCATCAGGGTCCGGTGGCTTCCTGATAAAGAAATCACAATCAAATAAGCTTATCTTGTGGAACTCATCTTCGTCAATTCTGTAATCAACGATCTTCTCCGAATGCCACCCCTGAGTAGACACGAAATTCTTGCTGGCAACCATCGCAATGTCGTCTCCATCGCCAGCCAAAGGATCGTACTCCACATCGTAATCCTTCTTGTTGTCCACTTCCTCCACCTCCTCGTCGTCCAAGTCGTAATCGTCGGCACCGCCTCCGTCGGCGTCGCCGTCGTCCGCCTTCGGCACGAACGCTCTCCGGGTTCTAGAAGGCAAATGGAATTTCCAGCGGTGGCGCTCGAATCGGGAGGAAGGCAACAATGCGATGCTGGACTTCCGGGCCGCGTACCTCGCTAGGCAGGTTCTTGGTTTTGGTGGAGTGAAATGGTTGAGAGTGTTGACTGCTGCGGCAGCCATGGGAGAATGTTCTGTTAGGGAAGAGGAAGCGGGAGGGGACTGAGCTCTTTTAATTAGTGTAGCTCGCTACTTCCATTTCCGAGAAAACAGATTTCGCTGCTAGAAAGTGAGAGAGTTAAAATCAAGGGCGAGGAGTTCTCCTATGCCGTTGCTCATCGGCGGCGCGGATGGATTATGAAGGAGAAGCAGAGGTGAGCGACGAAGCGGGAAGCAAAAAGTGACGAAGACGAGAGGAACAGATAGCGCAGTCGAGTGGGGAAGATGAAGAGATTGTAAATGGGCCGCAGATAAACACGCAAGATAGCATCCCATTCCACTAGCCCAATAAGAAGCCCACTATCATGGACTTTTACGGGTCGGGTCAAAAAGAAAGGTCCGCTCCAGATTGGTAACCCGCCCTTTTCCCCTTTTCCCTCGCTCAAAAAAATTTTCTCGCGAAGGAAAATGCGAGAAAATTAAAACAGAAAAAGACTTTCTCGTTTATTTCCAGTTAAACCCTCCGGAAGAACCGTTTCCGAGTCCCGCCTGCCCAGCTCTTCAGCTTTCTTCCTTCTGTCTCTCGGAAAAGAATTTCTTTCCCTTTCTTTCTACCCACTGACACTGTCTTCCTTCCTTCCTTCCCTTCAGCTAGACCCTTGTCCCTAGGGTTTGTTCTTTACTCACAGCTCTCGCCGCCTTCCCTCTCTCTCCTCTATGGTTCGCGAATTTTAGGTCCTTTCAATTGCTTCAATTCTATACCCTAGAGTTCGGGAACCCTCAAATTTACTTTTCCGAGATGGAGGAAGGGAGCAACGGCGCCGGCGGAGGAGGAGGGGAATCGTCTTCTTCCAGGACCACGCCTTCCTACGTGAAATTGGGGGACAGACAGATTTTCACGGTGGAGCTCCGGCCCGGGGAGACTACATTTGTCTCGTGGAAGAAGCTCGTGAAAGACGCCAACAAGAATTGCAGTGGATCTGCACCAGTTCCCGACCCGCCTCCTCCGGCCAACGCCCACCCCAACCTGGAGTCCCGTATTGCCCCAGTGAGTGCTCCAATCATTGAAATACAGCATTATGCTGTTTTTTTTTTTTTTTTGTGTATTCTTCACCATTGAAGTTTGTGTATTTCTAACCTGTCTCTTGGAAATTTCAATTTCTATGGTGCCTGAGTAGCTGTGATCATACCGTTTAGCTTGGCCCATTAGCTGAACCAATGTTGAGCTAGGTGGAAACAGGAATGGCGAAATAGCATGATGACTGAACTACTTTTTTTCTTTCCTGGGCAAGTTTATCTATAATTGTTGTATGTTTATTGTGAATCGGCATATCGGTGAAGTTTTTCATTGCCAGGAGTATAATTTACCACGTCCACTGTTCTGGGTTTGTTTTATATGGTGGGAAACATCTGATATGAACAGCGAAGTCCCTATTGATTAGTTTCCTTTGTGCTCCATAATGATATTATTGAATTCTTTGTGGTGCTTCTCCTTCGTTAGGGACAAGGGGCAGATAATGAAGAAAATGATGATACTCATCCTCATCGTTTCAGTGCCGTGATTGAGAAGATTGAACGCCTTTACATGGTAATGTATTGTCCCAGGTATATGTAAAAATGTAACTAAAATGATGGATGGTGATTCATTACTGATGTGATCTGTTTCAGGGGAAGGATAGTAGTGATGATGAAGATATGAAAGATGCCCCTGATGATGATCAGTATGATACAGAAGACTCTTTTATTGATGACGCCGAGCTGGTTGGTACCTGTTCTGTTCAGTTTCTTCAATGACATTTGCAGGGGTTGCTTTATGTTTCCAATAACAATTGTTTTCCTGTTCAGGATGAATATTTTGAAGTTGATAATTCCGCAATAAAGCATGATGGATTCTTTGTCAATAGGGGAAAACTTGAGCGCATGTAAGTTTATCTCAACCATGTTATTTTTGTCTTTGTCATTCCTCAAGAATCTGCAGCTTTGCATGTATCTCCTTAGGGTTGTTGTATTATCTCCTGTACATGCTTGCTGTAGGGCCAAGTGTTTCTTAACTGGGGTTATCTTTTTACAAATTGTTTAGGTACTTGCGTGAACTTTATGCTTCATGAATATGCCTTCGAGCCAAGTTAGGTTGTATATGGCTGCCATCTTGAGTTTCTTGTGCATCAAAAGGGTACAGAAGCAAATTTGGGATTTTTTCGATGTGGTAATGATGAGTGGTTGAGATGTTTCAAGTCTGTAGAGTGATTTTGAAATTTAAGTGAAGTCGGTGTGCTAAAACCACCCTGAAACTTCTGTTCTTCTTGCCCGTTACCCATTCATCACTTTATTTTTCTCTCCCCCACTTCAAGAGAATCTTGTCAGTGTTCTGCAGTGCCTCATTGAGGCTTAATTGGATCTCTCAGTTGCCCCACTAGAGCAGGCATCTTTGATTCATCAGTAATCCCGGGAAAGTTAATACGTGACATTAGCTAATTGTGATTCACATGTTTATTATGGAAGAAGTCAGATCCATCAGTCTCAATGAGTTTGCGTGAACTCATTGTTGTACTAATTTCTTACACTTTTGTATGTTTCAGAAGTGAGCCTGCTGCTATTCCCAACCTGCAGCCAAAGAAAAGGAGGAGAAAAGATTTAAATAAGGCTCCTGGTGACAGTGGCAATGTTAATGTATCTAATAAACATGCTAAGATTGGAAAATCAACAGCTGGAAAGACAGTGCAATCACTTGGAATGAACTCCTCCAGCCCCTCACAGGATTTGGTTAAATCAGGTGGATATAATGAGGATGTGAAGCCCCTTAATTTGTCTGGAACTTCTTCCAAGAAGAAATCTGGAGAGGCTAAACTATGCTTGGATCCATCTTCAACCACAAAGATGTCAAATGGTAAGGCATCAATGGCAGAAGACAAGAATTTTCAGATGCAGAAGCCTGGAAGTCACCAAGCAAAGAACTTTTCAAGTAAATCAAAAGATGCTAGTGGATCTTCTGATGCTTCACACCTCATACATCAGATTCAGGATAAAAGTGCTTATGGACAAAATAAGTTGCAGTCTGGAAAACCTTTTAATAATGTTGAAGAACCCGAATCGTCTGTTCAGTCAAAAGAAAGAAATGGTTTCAGAATACTGCCTGACCTTAATAGTGCTCCTGATGGAAAGATGACTGTGCATAAAACAGTAAGTATATGAATTTTACGTTCTGGTGTTCTGATGCTTTTAATAATTCTCGTATTCCATCTGCATTTAATGACTTAGTCCACTGGTAGGAGTGTTGCCTTTTCTTTTGTTCACTAAAGATGGTGATATATGTTCTGTACATTATGCTCCAATAGTCTGGGATTGCCGTTGAAAGTTATGGTTATAATTCTTTGTCTAGTCCTTTATCAACTTGGGTTGCTGATGATAGCAGGCATCAACTGTCCACAAAAGGGATGGTTCCAGTGTCAGGCCAAAAGGCTCAATGCTAGAAAAGGCCATCAAGGAGCTGGAAAGAATGGTTGCAGAATGTAAGCTGAGAATTTGCTTTCCACTATGTTAATCTGGGATCTTCCTACTGGTTGAGGCTTAGTTGTTCTATGTGTATATGACTGTTGCAGCAAGGCCACCTGCAATTGACAATCAAGATGGTGATGCTTCGTCGCAAGCAATTAAAAGGAGGTTGCCTAGAGAAATAAAGATGAAGCTAGCCAAAGTTGCCCGACTTGCGGTATCACCTTGAACTAGTTATTGCTTCTTTTATTGATAGTCAGGTCTTCTGGTAAAGTTTCTTAAAATATCAAGGTTCATGTGAAGTTTTGAAAAAAAATTACGTCTTTGGTAGTTTAAAGTTTAAACAAGCATTGACACTGATGCTATACTTATTATTTTTCATGATACTTCAGGCAAGCCAAGGAAAAATGTCAATGGATTTAATAAATCGCCTCATGAGTATCCTGGGTCACTTAATACAGCTCCGGACGCTGAAGGTATCTGTTGGAATTCTTATCAACATCTCAACTTCTGTGATCTTTTGTGTCCCTCTCGAGCCTACTTCCTGTATGTCCACAATAATAACATTTGCTGGAGGGGCTGTGATGATTGAGCTTACTGTGGTTTGGTTGGAATGTGAGATTAGGTCACTAGTAAATGTTGGCTCGCTTAAGTCACATTGGTCACTAACAGTAAAGTATAGACAGCAATAGTTATGATTCTTATCATAGAGAATTCAATCAAGAGTATTGTATCTTGCTTTGACTATGAAACCTGGTATTATCATTACCTGAATTCTGACTTTGATCTCATACTACTTCATAACTTAGATACATATGCTGGGGTTTTTTTATGGATGAACCATTGATAACACAATCTGGTTTTTGGTGCAGAGAAACTTAAAAATTATGGTGAACTCAGGCTTGTCAGCAATGCAAGAGAAAGATGATAGGTTTCAAATGATTAAAAAGGAAGTTGCTGAGATGATCAAGACTCGTGTCCCATCATCAGAGTCCAAGGTATGAACTCCGGACTTCCCCTTTCTCTCCACCAATACATTTGCATTCATCGTTTCTTCGCGGAATGTTTTGATAAGAATTTCTCCAAAGAACTGAAGGAGCTAAAAACTCCTTATGCTACTTTCTTCAACTTCCCCTTTTTGTTCATTTTTTTTCTTGCCCCTCCTATGTTTTGCAAGATGAGTTAGATTAGGAAACCTTATAGTATCATTTCTGGTTCTGTAACTATCAGTTCCCTTCTCAGAACAGCTATGAACTTGACTGTGATTTTTCTCCAGGCTATGGTCTGGATAAAGTGTTTTGCTAGTCATGGTGCTCTTTTCTATCCCATCGCCTGCATCATTGGTCAATGGATGATAAGATTACTTGTAGCTCTTTTTGAGTTACGTTTCACAATCTGTATTATCAGGCTATTGAGCACCAAGCTGGATCATCTGATGATTTTCAAGATCTTAATTCAGACAACAAAGGAGTCGTGAAACGGAAGTTCGGCATGGATGCTGTGTTGGAGGACAAAGTTTGTGATCTTTATGACCTTTTTGTTGATGTATGCATAACTTCTAACGTTGCCCTTTGCTTGGTTTTCAAAAGTTACTCTCTTTTTCATATGATCTGGTTCACTAACTCTTTGATGATTTTAGGGACTTGATGAAGATGCAGGTCCACATGTCAGAAAGTTGTATATGGAGGTTGTTCATCTCTCGTTATTTCCTGTTTCATTTTATGCACTTGACTTCAGTATGTTCTTGACTGGAGCGTGCGTTTGTTTTCAGTCTCAAACGTTCACCTTGTTTCCTTGTGGGATATTCAATTACTTTAATTTCTGTCATTTTGTGTAGCATGGGTATTTTCTGTTTCTGGGATACCTATCCAAATATTTGCTGACTAGTCTTCTGGGCTTGTCGTCTACATTTCAGCTCGTAGGGCTGTGGCCAAGTGGTGCCATGGACAACCACGGCATCAAAAGAGCAATATGTCGAGCAAAAGATAGACGAAGGGCTATTTACAGCCGAAACAAGGTATGCATGCTGCCTCTTCTCGACTATTTTCTTAAGGTGAGAACAATTTTAAGCAATTCTGTTTTTTCTGTTGCTTAGTACTTTTTTGTTGAAAACTTTTGCAAGGAAGAGGAGAAAATCAGAAGGAAAAAGATAATGCAAGCGAGACCAGAGGAACCTGACCGAGCTGATCCAAGTACAGCTTTCCAGGCTCAGACGCAGCAGCACTTGCGTGAGAGATCGACTAGCAACACAGGTGGTGGGCCGGTCTTGGCTTTGGCTAGCAAACCGATGTCCGGCCAGATGTTGATCACCCAGGGAACCAGTAGTAGTATCTTGGGGAGTGCCCATAATTTGGAGAGGCCAAAGCAGGACAGGGCGAAAGGAAGTGTTTCCATGGAAGAAGTGAAAATGGAATTTGCTGTTGGTGAAGGAGTTTCGGTGAAGAAAAAGGTGAAGAGAAAACCAGAAGCCGAACTGGATCAAACCCACTTCCGGTCAGAGAAGACTTATTTGCAGTCGAGCGATGAAAGACACAAGTCGGTTAAGCCAGCTCCTGTGGTTTCCCAGAAGCTAAGTCTTCAATCTGCTGTCCTGCCGGTACCTCACAGTTTCGAACAATAACAATCTAGCTGATGGATTCAAGTACAGTTCAACGGGATGTAGTAAAAAGAGTCACAGCACAGCCACCCACCATTGGAAGTGATTTTGTGTAACAGTTTCTTTCTTCTTTTGTTACTTTTGGTTTTTTTGATTTTTGGTCAACTTCATTACAGGGTTTCCCCATTCTGGCCTGCTGATTTTTTCCCCCTAGATTACCAATTCTTGTAATTAAAGGTGAGGTTAGTTTTGTCTAAAAGCATGATATGGCGGAATGCTCAATGTCTGTGGACTGTGGTATTCACTTTGTGCAATGTATACGCTTTGAGATGTTGCTCTAACAAATAAAAACGATTTCTTTCCGCTTTTTTTTTTTTTTTTTTGGGTTAAAAGACAGACGTCGAGCGTCTAATTCATATTAATAATAGTTCTTACATGGGGATTCCCATAACATCATGGTTGATCCATCTAACCAAGTCCCTATCACACACATTGAAATGATGTGTGCCAAAATCAAAAACATGAGCCTTGTTGGCCAAGTAATCGGCCGCATAGTTTGCTTCTCTATACACATGGGACACTCTAACCTCCCATTGTCTATCCAAAATCAAGCTCAGGTGCCTGGCAGTTGTGCCATGGCGATGCACATCATCATTTCTGTGTTTAATGATGTTGACGGCAGTAGTAGAGTCACCGTGAAGAACAATCTTCCTGTAACCTGCCTTCCACGCAATCCTCAAGCCCTCCAAGCATCCTCGCAACTCAGCAGCAGTGATAGAACAACGTCCAAGATTACACACACAGGCACCCAAACATCTACCTAGGTGATCCCTGAGCAAACCTCCTGCTGCTGCTCTACCACTTTGAGCATGAAAGGAGCCATCAGATTGGATTTGAATCCATCCTTCCTCTGGCGGCTTCCATCCAACTTCGCATGGAACTCTCTCCATTGGAACTCTTTCCGCTTTTTTAGTTGTCTCTTAACTCATTCTTTTTGCAAAAGGGTAATTAACTAATTATGCAGAGGAAATGGTGAGGCCTGGATAATCGGGATCAGCTGAATAAAAAATCAGAGGCGTTTGCGGGTATTATATTTTGAATAAAAAATTATAATATGTATAATTGTATATAGACGAAAGTGACTATTTTGTGTATTTTAACATCTGTCACTATAAGAGTAGAGTTACAATCGTGAGAGTTGCGCTCGAGTGTATTTTCCATTAAATTTATTTACTTTCTTTTGTAGAAAGGAAACATGTTTGTTGGGTTTTGTGCTTCCGTTTGTTTTGTGTTGTCGGTTTCCGAATCCGTAGCAGACTAGGGCATGGGGCCTATAAAAACAAAGGGTCAATAGATTAGATGGATAGACATCAAAGCATTTCAGCAGATTATTTATTGTTTATTATTTACCTTCCGGAATTCCTCTGCTCCGGGAGTGAAGTCTGAAGATCGAAAGGGAGCATCTCTTCTGCTTCTAGGGTTTCTCACCCATCCAATTGCTAGAACACAGTAACAGAGGCATGGGGCCCGAGTATGGCTTCGGAGAAGAGAGAGTAAGCAAGCATCTTTCTCCTTGTTCGTCGCTCTTTTGGGTTGTCTTAGAAAAGTTCGAAACTTGGGCATATTTGTTTACCTCACACGCCTCTTCTTTTTTCACTTCGGCAGGAAGAAGAGGAAGGAGGGAGAGTGGGCCTTGAAACGATAGCCTCTGATTCTGTTTCCACGGGACATGAGGTATGTCTGATTTCTGTCTTTTAACACTCGCTGGTTGGTTAGCTTAGGGAAATATTCAAAAGTTGCAAACTTTAATTGGTTATTGTTCTTTTTTTTTTTTATTTATCCCTTTTGCGCTAGAAGGAAGAAGATGAGGAATCCATCGGTGTGGACTGGATTAGTGAATTACCTGACGGAATTCTCGTCAGCATTCTGTCCCTCTTGAAACTCAAGGATGCGGCCAAGACTTCATCGCTTTCAAGTAGATGGGTAAATCTGTGGAAATCAGCTGTAACCGAGCTTGATTTTGATGCCTCTGAACTGTTGGAACTTGTTAACTACGACGAGGATCTAATGCCGAGGAGAAGGATTGAGTTCAGAGAATGGGTGAGTGGGGTTGTGAGGCAGCTAACGGATGCGTCCTCAGCCTCAAAAAAACTGACCAAGTTTAGGATTTCGTTTGCCTTGACCAATCGGTGCAACTCGGATGGGGATATTGATAGATGGCTGAAATTTGCAATCTCGAAAAGGACAGAGTCCCTTGAGCTGTCATTCGACACACCTTTACTGGACAGTTCCTGTGATGGTGAAAATTATGTTTTCCCCGAGGATTGTTTCAGTTACATCAAAACTCCAGCTGGATTGTCTGATATAAAGTCCCTCAGGTCCATACGCTTGAGTTATGTCGAAGTCAAGGGCGAGACTCTTGAACACTTCATCTTGAATTGCCCCTATCTTGAAGATTTAGCGGTGCACGATTCAAAGTTAATAGTGAATCTCCGGATTGCTTCGGGTTCATCATCACCCCTTCCTTTGAAGCACTTAGAAGTGAGGGGATGTGATAATCTAGAATCCCTAGAGGTTGATAATGTCCCATGCCTCTCCCACTTTAAATATCAGGGTCATCCGCCAGTGGAACTGCGTCTGGAGAATTGTGTTAGTCTTGTGGATGTGTACGTAGGCTTTGCTGGGTATGAACCTGGTTTGCCATTTCATTCCATCTCCCAGTATGCTGCTCAATTGGCGGCGCTTACCATGAACATCACCACGGTGAGTTGAAGAAGAAAAAAAAAAAAGAGAAATAGGCGCTACTACCCTTCCTTCTACTCCTATTGATTGACTTTAAGTATTCAATGGTTTGTCTCATGTTGCAATTTGTTGCTGTTACAGAATTGCATCTGTTTTTCGAATGTGGCTGACTTCACCCGCCTTGAGCTGCTGAAGGTTGAGATATCCGGAAGGTTCGATGATACTGTCATCGGCTTGGTTACTTTGATAAACGCTTGTCCTCGATTGCGCACATTGAGGGTGTTGGTAATAAATTTATTCACAGCTGAATTGATTTTTGGGTTGGTTTCTTCCTTTTAATCCAGACTCTTATTGTGATTTTTTCTTTTTTGTTGTTGTTGGGTGGGTTTGCAGATGATGACGTACTACTGCACTGATGAATGGTGTGGAGGAATGCTGAAACCACGGGTGGATAGAGTAGTTCGTGAGAGCATAAAAACAGTGGAGATTATTGGGTTTAAAGGGTATCCAATTGACTGCGAGTTTATGGAGTATGTGCTGGAATGCTTCACAGGGATGGAGAGGATACTTGTTGATCATGGCAGTGAGAAACGAGCCAATGAAGCCAGAAAGCGCGCATTGGAGTTTCAGTCGAGAGTTTCCCCTTCAATTGATTTTGTTATAATTTAGTTCTTACTGAACCTTCTGGCCTTCTGATATGGTGTTCCAGTAGTATTTGGTGTTCCCGTTTGTCCTTGCGCTTGTAACTTGTGCCCTATGTAATCTCAATTTAATTTCTGTGCGTTTCTCAATAAAATGGCTCGAGTTTGCAGTACTATCAACAAGTGTATAGTATAGTCCTTTCTTGAGTTGTATATGGATGGAAAGATCAACTCGGTACATTCTTAATACTTTCGATTTTGTCAGAATCGTCACTAAGGCTTGCTTCTGGGTTTGTGTTTGCATGATCAGATATCTTGATTGGGGTATGCGGAAGCAGGCAGGTTTTATGACAGTTTTCCTTGCTGATGCTCAATGAGTTTGTTTCTGGAGATCGGTATCATTACTGCTTTACATCACAAGAGCCTGGCTAAAATCCCTCCCTGGGTTCTGTTTTGCAGGACAAGCATCTTCTATTTGGTTTATGACTTGCTGTCCACTCCAGGGAAAGCCTGGAACAGAGTCGTCATGGTAAATTAATCAATCTCATCACTATTCTAACTTTCTTCCGCTTGGAAGTTGGAATCCGAGAATCTCCGTACTAACAGTTTTCATGTCTGCTCAACTTCTGCTAATAGGAAAGACATGGATGCATTCATTTCTGCAGAGTGTTTTGGTTCCAGCTGTGATTGTAGAAAAACATGTAAGGTCAAACCCAGTTTCATGCCAAATGATCTTTTGCTTCTATACTTTTAGTTTGTATAACTCTTCCTCTACAAAGATGCTTGGTTAAGATTGTGATTGGTGACTTTAACGGTTGACTTCAATCTGTAGAGCATTTGATTAGTAGTAATAACTTTATGTTGGTCTTTCTTCTGACACCATTAAAAATCGCGGGTAAGGAACTATCAAAGTTTCTGAAACCAATCTCCCTTTTGACAGCATGGGATAGAGTCAGTAATACCGTAGATCTAGGGGCGGATCCATCGTGCGGCTGGGCTGAATGCTGGTAGGGGTGTTTAAATGGTTATCGTGGTAAAAACCAAACCAATTAACCCTAAATTTTATTAACCATGGAATAAAATGTCTTAACCAAACCGTCCAAATTAACACGAAAACTAAATTAATCAAAAAACATTAAAGCAAGTGAGATAATTGGGACACTAGAGGTCAAAGGAAAGAAATGAAAGATTTTCCACTAAGGAGGAACGAGAAGGCGGGTAATTGAAGTCAAAGAATAGTTGTAATCGGCCTCTATTTTCGATCTCTTTTGTTTTGCTAACCACTAGCTATATTTCTCTGCTTCCCAAAGTTGTCAACCCGTGGGTTGACCCGGACCCGGTCAAGCTAGCGGGTCAAGGGTTAACGGGTCACCCGTTTTAGCCCGAAAATATGGAAAGAGTCATTATATTGTACTTATCCTGATAAATTATATAAAATCTCATCTAACATATGAGTAATAACATATAACATTACACCAAAGTAACATGTCGTACTTAGATCCAACATATAGTGAAAATTCACACACATATAACATCAATATTCAAATGTTCAACTAAGAATTCCAAAAATTGAGTTAGGCGAAAAGAAAAATCGGTAAATAGGCGCATTTCGCAAACCAAGGAATAAAATGACACAATTTGACCTCCAACCCAGTACCTTATAGCGGTCTACCCGGCGGGTGCTTGAGACCCGTTTTTCTCACTGGGTCAAGGTCAAAGTGACGGGTTGACAACCTTGCTGCTTCCGAACCCTTGTATTCAAACGAATACAAGTTCTTTGTTTCAGCTAATCAGTCGATTATCAGCACAAACATGGCAACATATGGGGGCATAAGTAATGGTTTTGTATAAACAATGATTCTCTCGGAAAATAATCTCTCCTTAAAAGAACCATTTCAATCTTAATTTTTTTAACTGTGGGTGTCAAGCGTTGTTGGATTAACAATAATTACACTTAATTATTTGTCATACAAAGCGTGGCGCAAGGGCGGAGCTAGGTGGGCCGGCTCCACGAGAATTTTGAATTTATGTACAAATTTTTTACTGTTTAGGAAAATTACGTATAAACTAAAAGTTGAATATTAATACGCTTATGCGCTACATAATGCTATTAAAGGTGAGATAGTAGAGTGGAGAGCATTCTAATCACACACACCCAGACCTGGGTTCAAGTAAAGAAGCAGGTAATTAATTTGTGTGTAATTAATCAAAATGGTCACATTGGTTTGGACCAATAACAAAATGGTCACAAACGTTGAAAACACGTAACAAAAAAGTCATATACATATCAAGATATAACAAAACAGTCATTTCATCTATTTTTAGGCATGTTTTCATCCATAATAATCGATTATTTTGATGACACCATGGAAAATTGATAACAAATTATCAACCACCTAACCAACATGTGAAATTACCGCTTATTTAGAGCAAGCAAACTGGTCATTTTGGATGAAAATACATGAAATAGTTGTTTTGTTATAACATGATACTTGCGTGACCTTTTTGTTACGTTTCAATCGTTTGTGACCATTTTGTTACTTGATCAAACCGATGTGACCATTTTGATCAATTACCCATTAATTTGTAATACTTTACTTTTTACAGATTTGTTAGATCGAATGGCCAATTCATCAACTTGTACATTTTTCGTACAAGTCCTGTGCTATGACTCTATTATCTTTTAACGATTCTTTTGATCATATAATTAATTAACTAGCGTGGTCCCGGTCAGTTGGCCGGAGGAATGTGAGGTATGAAATTTGATAATGTAATGGGATGTATAACTTATTGTTATATAGTTTTTTTTGGGAAAAACGTGATAAAAATAATGAATTTTAGCAGGAAAGAGACATGAATGATGCAACGAATCAAAAATCGGCCTTATGAACCAAAATCAAGTATCTGTTACCTTGTGAAATAATATAGTTTCTGGTAATATGATGAGGTGGAGTAAGTTTTATAGAAGCCGAATTTCAGAAAATCGAATAAAAAATTGCCTATCTCGTCGGTTTTCAGGAAATTAGCATCTCACAATCGTTGCTAACTTTTACTTGGCCCGTTGGCCGATTAATTTTCTTTATAAAACTTTCATCTTGTCGTCATTGTGCTTTCTGGTTTTTGTCAGGCCATGATGAAATCTAAGAAAATCAAGAACGAACAACACGATTTGGGATAGAAACTGTCGTTGTCGTATCCCTAAAAAATGGTGGTAAACACGGATTCACCTGCCAAACTGGTTTGGATTGAGATTTTTATCAAGTATCAGGGAACCATGTGATTATAAATTAGACTTGATCAAAACGGGCCAAAATTTTAAATTCAGCCTGTTTGACCGACCCATGCCAAATTCTAATTATTCTTTACTTTTAAAGTTTCTATTTGAAAATAAAAAATAGCGAAAGAAAAGAGATGACTGCAATTCGCCATTTGCACATCACTTATTCAGGAATAAAACCATAGAAATTCAAAAGGAACTGAAAATGTTTAGGATCATTTTAATGTTTAAAATAACCAAATAGATCTTTCTGTTTAGTTTTTTACTAACAAATACCAAACGATTCCCTGTAAAATACACTATAATTTTATCATTTGGGTTGGTCGAGGTTGAACCATTGAATAACTTTAAAATACATTATATTTTAGCCACTAAGATATAAAATAATAGCATAATATATATTATGTCAGAGAAAATAGCTTATTTTAGAATGACAAACCAATGATGTTCATTTGTTTTACTTGATGGCCAAATCCCGTGTAGGTCAGGCTCATTCAACTCTTTTATTTTATGATTTGCGGTTAGCCCATTAGATACCATGCATTAGTTTATTGTTAAATTTTTTATTTTTAGCAATAAAAAGGAGTATTGTTTTTGCCTTTTCGTATATATTTTATCACCACGGAGAAATAAAAGAGCTTAATGAAAAAAATTGAAACTCCTGAACCCATTTAAATCCGCATGTGTACGGTAAGTTGGCACGTTCCACAGAGGAAAGAGAAAAAACTTGACACTCCCTATTCTACCCTTCCTACAAACGCTCCTGGAGCAGAGAATTTGAAATGGGGGAAGAGTTTTTTCCTCCCTTCTATTATATGTTTTTAATTTTAAAAGATACAAAAAATGTACTTAGTGTGATTGGTTATGATCCTGGTTTTTCTTTAAAATGGTCATGGTTTGAATCCCAGTACGTGTCTTTTTAATGAATAAAAAAAGTAATTGTGAATACAAAAATGGACATTCATTTTCCAAATATCTTTTTTCGGTTTCTACTAGGGATGACAAAAATATCTGTAATCGTGGATATCCGCTTGAATCCAGCCAAATCGGGTAGGGTAAATCCCGAACTCAAAGGACATTTAGTGGGTATGGGTAAAACCTGAACCCGAATATTGGAGGTAATGGGTAGGCATGGGTTTTTCTCACTATCCAACCCGAACCCGCCCGATTATATACATGCACATGTAGTTTGTCTAGAAATAATCATTATTTTTCTCTAATATATTTTATATTTAGCATATAAATATAATATTTTCATGAAATTGTGTTGTTTTAATTAATTTTCTTCATTCTGATGAAGTATTGTCGTACTTTTCCTCTTTATGTAATGTGAGAATATGTATAAATGTTAACATATTGGTTGGAATTATGAAGAGAAATTATTACCCATGGATAACCGTGGATATCCGAAACCCGAACGGATATGGACATGGTTTTGATTTTCTACCCGTTTCACATGTGGGTATAGGTAAAACCCGAACTAGTTTGAGTAGGGTAACGGATATGCACTATCCGCCCCCGACCCAAACCATTGCTATCCGTACTTTCTAGAGGTAGACGTATGAAATATTATGTGTTAGTTTGTAAAGGAAAACAAGTGGAAATTGTTTTTTTATAGAAAAAGTTGAAATTGGAAAGCTAGTTTAACAAAATGTCCAAAACAGAAAGACCCATACTCGCCTAGCTCATTGAGCTCAATCGCGGCCTCGCGGGCAAAGTAGGGTCCATGTCAAAATTGAAAATTCTTAATTCTTCCCGCCTTTTCCACTCTTTCCTCTTGTCCTCCCCAAAAAAATTTGAATTAACTTTCCTCAAACAAACGCAAAAAGTGAAAAAGTAAAAAAAACTGAAAACCTAATTCACATTTCGAAGCTCCACACTCCCTACCACTCCTAGCTCGCCAGCGTCAGTTGAATTGAACCCAATTGACGAAGAAAACCCAACGAAGAAAGGTGCTGAAGACCAACACCTTCACGGGAGCAAACGTATTCATGTCCCGTAACCTCGTCCCGTCGGAGAACTTTGACGCACTCCTCGGCGTTCTCAAGCTCAACGGCGCCGACGTCTTCCCCATGTTGCCATCCTTCCGGGAACGATCCCAATGACTACCACGTCATATCTTCTCCCGATCAAGTGAGACCCCCTCCCCTTCCTATGGCGATTCCCGCCGTTTCTACTTCTCCTTCAATTTCATCCCTCGTTTCGTGGCTTGATTGTCGATCTATTATTCTTGGTCCGTTTGCAGGAGAAGTTCGAGGATCTTACAGCCAAGGGGTGTAATCTGTTAGGTATGACCTCTAACTCTAGCAGAATGCTTTCTCTGTGGTTTCGAATTATGCTTGACCTAATTCTATTTGTTCTTTTTTTTATAATTTGATAGGCCCGCGTTGTATTCTTTCCTGCGCTGAAGAACATAAACCATTACCTAAGCAAGGTTTCACTTGTTGCCTAACAATGGATGGTGTCAAGTTACTTGCATCGGATTTTGTTACAGATGAGATGGATGGTGCTCATCAATGTATTAGCAATGCTTGCTTATAAAATAGAGCGACATGAGTTTGCAGTTCCTCATACTCCTTAACATGCTGCCTTTCATCGCTTGTTCATTACCTGCATTGCCTGTTGAGATTGAAAAGTTGGTTAAAGCAATAGGCGGACTACTGTCTTCTTAGGTCTCTGGACATTAGTTTCATAGTCGTGTAGAATGTTCTAGCTCCCAAGTATAAGGTCTAGTACTTATATCTACGGTTTCAGCAACCTTCTTTTATCTTCAATTGTTTACAGCTTGTCTTACTTTGTCTTGTCCTCCTTTTACGCATCTGTGTAAGAATGCCTAACCGGTTGAATAACTAACTCGCATTCTTTCATTTAAATGTTCTGAAGAAACCAGTGGTAACTGCTAGTTACCAGTGCTGGACTGAGCGCGGTGTTGTCCCCCAAGAACCTAATAGGGTTCTTCCATTTTTATGGCTTATTGATATGTGTTACTGGAATTGCAGGAGGTTGGTATTTAAACTCAGTTGCTTTTGGGTGACCTTTCTTTTTCCTTTCTCTTTTGTCTAACTCTGGTTCTCTTGTTTATGATAGAATAGCAGAAGAAGATTGAAACCTTATCACACAAAATGGTGGGAAGTATTCTCCTGAGTGTTTGGGATGTACACATATTTGATCTCTGATATATCTTTCATTAAGAAAGATTTACTGATTCTGTGTTTACTCTAGAAGCATAGTATTGTTTTTCCTCTGATTAGCTATACTTTTATAAGTTAACCAGCATAGTCTGTAGTTGACTTGGCAAGAAATATAAGCTGCTATGCCATTCCCGTGAAGAAAACATGAGGTTATACGTTATCGTAAGTAGGCACATATATTATAGTTTCTCTAGATTTTAAATCAGGTATATTCTTGTACATGTTTACTGGGGAGTTGACGACATCTGGGTGTTTGTGGTGCTTGTGTTGCCTCTGATAGCTGTTTAAGTTATGAGTCTTATCCTTAACAAAATGAAGAGTGGATGCTTCTCTTCTTACTTCCTGTAATTGAATAAAAAATGTAGCCTTTTTGAAACGCCTGTAATTCTTCTGTCTATCTGGTTTTACTCATTCAGGAAGTTCATCGTTTTAGGAAGATAAGTATCATGTAGTCTATTTATGCACCTTGGGATTGAACTTCGAATGCAAGTTGTCGTGGTTAGGTTCATATTGTTTCCCTGACTACTTGCACTGTCTGAAAGGTGACAAATTCTTAGTTTCGGCCAACTGGGGTCGTATTGACATTGTTGCTCAGAAATGGTTTGATCAGTCCAATGCTAAAAGAGGTAAGAAGAAGTTCTTTAGTCTGCAAAATATATTATGAGAACGCAAAATTTTCCTTTGGGGTGCTTTAGACATTATATGAGCCATATCTGACTTTAGATTTCTCTTTTTCAATGACTGTCTTAATGAGGAGTCATATCCTTTGTAGGATGGTTCTGCACCTTCAAGTGGGAGTTTCCAGAGTTTGATGGCCTCAGTTCTCAGGCAGAAGAGTTTACCAGACAGTTGGCATCTGGGAAATCCTCAGCTGCTGTTGAACCAAATTCAGCTGTTTGTCAATCCACTAGTTTTTGCAGATTCATATGTGGAAGCAACTCTCTCACAGAATATACTTATCGATCCTTCCATCTATATCAAAGAAGACAAAAACCTAGGTTGCTGCATTGCAGCTGACAAATTGAAATAAGCTTTAGCAATTGTGTTGCTGATGATTCACAGTCTGAAGACAGTGATCTATATTTGGCTGATTGTAGGATACCACTGCCCACTGGTTTACCAAATTCAGCTTTAGCAATTCCACGGTCACTTATTTTCTTAGAACAATGTGGCTTGAAGATTGTGTGATAGAGAAAAGAGAGGAATTCATGGTCGAGTACTACATATTTTATCCAAATTACTTGTTCCTAAAGGTGCAATTTCTATTCCAACTTTGTTGCTGCATGATTCCTCTTTCTTAGAACAACGAACTTTGAGTGCAGGTAGCCGATTTTTTCTTCAAATTTCTAATCCTCAATTTTGTTCTTCCTCATGAAGGATGGTATGTGTGATTAATATGAAGGCAGCAATGTGGAGACTCCAACAAGCTTGCTGGGAATAGGTGGAATTACGGATAGACTCTATCTATCTCTGTGGCAGCAATTCCAGGTTTTCAAAGACAGCAGATCTGTGGCAGTACTCTTTTCTTAACCCACCTTTGATACAAACAAAAAGCTGTTTGAGTGAGCGAAGCTTCAGAATCAGAATGGCTTAATTGCAAGTTTGGTCACTCGAATTGTTACAAAATTTCATGTTTGGTCACTCGAATTGGTTTATTCCATTCGTAGTCACTTAAATTAGTTGAACAGTCCAACTTTGGTCACTCTCCGTTAACCTCCGTCAAATTCCGTTAGTACCGTCAATTAACGGCTGACGTGGCTAACAGAGTTGCTTAATCATCCTATTTTAACCAAATAAAAAATAAAAAAGACATGCCACATCATTAACCCCTCCATATCATAAACTCAACCCAAACCCAATCAATCCCTGAACCGACCCATTCACCCGTTCCCCCTCTTCTTCCCCAGCTCCAACCCCATTCAATCTCCCAAATCCTATTATTGACCGCCTAATTTTCACCCAAATCCCAGACCCCCTGTCGCTCTTCGTCGCCGTCGAAGCCCTACAAGGCCGCCTCCGAGCTTGCTCCTCCCCGTCTCTCAACTCCCACAAGAGCACCGCGTAACATTCTCATAATAAGATCCGCCGTTCTCCATCCCGACGAGCTCCGTCGCTCTCTTCCTCATCGCTTCACACTCCTCGTCGCCGCCCACCACTCTCTGCACTGCCCTCACCACATCCTCCCTCTTGACCGCCGCCGCTTCGACCTCCTCCCAATCCACCATCATCCGCTGCTCCACTCCCAGACTAACACCGATCCCCAGCACTTCGACGACCAGCTTCTCGTTCACAAACTGGTCTCCGAGCAACGACCATGTAATCAACGGCACTCCCGCGACGCACCAGATTTTCCCATTCCCACCTTCCCCTTTCTTCAATTCCTCGACATACTCTATCTCCAGCTATTCAAAGCTATTCATGATCACTCTGTTAGATTTTGATTCCGCTTTCAGCATCCGAAGCCTGATCCCTCTATTCTCCATCCTCAACCGCATGGGCAACTGATTTCTGGTGAACTTGATTCGATCGAGTCTGGGGAGAGAGAAGTAATCTGAATCTGACTCGGGGTATCAATTTCTTCGGGTTGGAGGCAGATCAATCGGACGGTCAGGAGACAGAGGCAACCGAACCCTTGGAAGCTGAATCTAGGGATCCCGAACTTCCCTGCCAGAGCGGCGGCGTACGGCAAGCTGATGTGCGACGATGCGGTTCGGTGTCGGGGAGAGTCTCCGGAGGAGGGATTCGGCCTGGGCTTCGGCTCGGGTCAGGGGTTGATTGGGTTTGGGTGGACTTTTAAAATATGGAGGTTAATGATGTGGCATGTCTTTTTTTTTTGTTTGTTAAAATTGGGTGACTCAGCACCTTTGTTAGTCGCGTCAGCATTTAACTAACGGTACTAACGGAGTCTAACGGAGGTTAACGGAGAGTGACCAAAGTTGGAATGTTCAACTAATTTAAGTGACTACGAATGGAATAAACCAATTCGAGTGACCAAACATGAAATTTTGTAGCAATTCGAGTGACCAAACTTGCAATTTAGCCAAATCAGAATGCATGCATCACTTAATTTCTTAGCTAACCTATGAACTACATGATCTGATCTTCTATTTGGAACACATATTCTATCCAAATAATAACTCAGGGAAGGACACCTCTGCAATGCATACTTCCATCCTGGGCCGGGCGCCTGGGCCGATTAACAAAGGGGGAAAACCGAAAAGTACCAAGTCTACCTGAACAAGACCCGTACATATGGGCTATGGGACCACGTCAAAATTCTCAATCCTTCCCGCCTTCCCCATTTCTTTCCTCTCTCGAGACAGATTTCGAATTGACTTCCCTCCCCAAACAAATCGCAGAAAACCTAACTCTCACATTTCTAGCTTACCCCCGGAAGCTCCACGGCCTACGACTCGTAGCTCAGTCTCCAGTCTCCACCCTCAGCTGTATTCAGCCCAATCGGCGAAGATAAGCCAAGTGGAGAAAGATGCTGAAGACCAACACCTTCAAGGGAGCAAACGTATTCATGTCCCGTAACCTCGTCCCGCCGGAGATCTTCGACACACTCCTCGACGCTCTCAAGCTCAACGGCGCCGAAGTCTTCCCCTGCTGCGATCCTTCACGGAACGGTCGCAACGACTACCACGTCATCTCTTCTCCCGACCACGTAAGCCCTCTCTTACATCCGGTGCTGCTCATTTCCAGCGGTTCCCGCCATTTCCACTTCCTCCTTTTATACATTCCCTCCCTAGTTTCGTGGTGTGATTGTGGTTTCCTTCTTCTTCTTGGTTCGTTTTGCAGGAGAAATTCGAGGATCTTAGAGCTAAGGGATGTAATTTGTTAGGTATAGCCTCTACATGCGGCAGAGAGGCTTTGTCTGTGGTTTGGGATTGTGCTTGACCTAATTCTAATTTTATTTTTTTGGGATAGGTCCGCAGTGTGTTCTCTCATGTGCTAAAGAACACAAGCAATTGCCTAAGCAAGGTTTCACTTGTTGCCTAGCAATGGATGGTCTCAAAGTACTTGCATCTGGTTTTGATACGGATGAGAAGGTTAGTAGCTTACGGGTTGATTGGTGTATTAGTAAAGCTTTCGGCAAACATTTTCTTCTTCTCTTGGTCCCAACAAAGAGCTGGATGAGGTTTCAGTTTCCTTTCTAATGCTGCCTCTCATCACTGGTTCATTAAACATGGAATTTTTCTACCTGTATTGCAGGTTAAGATAGAAAAGTTGGTCAAAGCAATGGGAGGAGAGTTGTGCTCTAAGGCATCCTTGGATGTTAGTTTCGTAATTGTGAAGGATGTTTTAGCTGCCAAGTACAAGGTCCAGTACTTGTCTAATGTTTCCACAGCCTGCTTTCATTTGCTACCTGTTTTGTCCTCCTTTTATGCATCTCTGTTAAGAATGCCTGATCGGTTGGAAAACCTAGTTTTCGTTTCTTCTCATTTGACGTGAATTTGAATTGGCATGCAGTGGGCTTTGAATGTTCTGAAGAAACCAGGTGTTACTGCTAGTTGGTTATACCAGTGCTGGACCGAGCATCGTGTTGTCCCCCAAGACTTACATAGGGTTCTTCCATTATGTGGCTTAAGAATTTGTGTTACTGGAATTGTAGGAGGTTACTTCTTAAACTCAGTTGCTTTCCACAGACCTTTTGTTTTCCCCTCCTTTCTCTAACTCTGGTTCTCTGGTTTCTATCAGAAGAGCGGAAGAAGATTGAGACGCTTATCACTCAAAATGGTGGAAAGTATTCTCCTGAGTTGACCAAGCAATGCACACATTTGATCTGTGAAATATCCTTATCATTAATAATTATATGCTGATATGAGTTTTATGTTATAATCATAGCACTGTTTCCATTGTTCTTATGAACTAACTATTTTCCTTTAAGATATCATTTCGAGGTTACAAATGGCCAATCATTATATTGGCCATTTAGATTTTATTTCCGCAGATTACTTGTATGTTTGTGAGTTAACCAGCATAGTCTTTAGTTGACTTGAAAAGAAGCATAAGTAGCCATGCCAATCCTGTGAAGAAAGTATGAGTTGATATGTTATCGTAAATAGGCGCTCAGAGTTCCTCTAGATTTTGAGTTAGAATATTCCTGGGTGTGTTTCTTGAAGAGTTAGCAGCATTTGGCTGTTTGTGTTGCTTCTGCTGGGTCTGATAGATGTTGAAGTTGCGAGTCTTTTATTTGATATGGTGAAGAGTAGATGTTGAACTTCGAGTGCAAGTTGTTCATGTTTAGTTCGTACTGTTTCCTTGACTTCTTGCAAGCTCCTAAAGGTGACAAATTTATAGTAGCTGCAAAATGGGGTTGTATAAACATTGTAACTCGGAAATGGCTTGATCAGTCTATTGCTAAAAGAGGTAAAAAGTGATTCTTCTTTAATCTGAAAAATACATTCCGGGAGTGCTGACTTTTTCCTAGATGTCCCTTGTGGTGCTCTAGACATTTCATGAGCTGCATCTGACTTGGATTTCTCCTTTTCGATGAATAGCATGTCTAAATGAGGAGTCATATCCTGTTCAGGGTGGTTCTGCATCTTCAAGCACGAGCTTCCGCAGTTTCCTGACATCAAAGTGTAGCCAGGAGAAGACTACCAGGCAGTTGCCATCTGAGAAATCCTCAGCTGCTATTGATTCAAACTCAGCTGTATGTCAATCAACTGGTTTCACAGATTCGGATGTGGAAGCAACTCTCTCCCAGAACATGTCTTCTATGTTCTCGGATCCTTTCATATATGTCAAAGAAGCCAAGAATGAGGTTCCTGTATTGCAGCCGACAAATGAAACAAGCTTTAGCAATTGTGTTGCCGATGATTCTCAATCAGAAGACAACGATTTATACCTGGCTGATTGTAGGATATCACTTGTTGGCTTTGCATCTTCTGAATCACGTAAACTAGTTAACATGGTGCGCAGAGGTGGGGGCTCCCGTTATGTGGTATTGAATGATCAGTTGACACATATTATTATCGGATCCCCAACCGAGGAGTAAGTATTTCTTGACATTATGTGGTATCAACTGAAAAATCATGGATTTCGTCATGTGTGTTTGGGTTCTTGTCGTTCTGTAGTGGTTTTTTCTCACTTGGCTATTGAGCTTAAGGCTGTATATTGCTGTTGAAAATTTCTGTTTTTACGCATGCTTTTTCGTTTATGTAGTGAAAAAAGAGAGCTAAGGAGCCTTGCTGCTTCTGGGGTAATTTATGTAGTTAAAACAACGTGGCTTGAAGATTGCGATCGGGAAAAGAGAGAAGTTCCTGTTCTTAGACAACATGTGGCCTATGAATTACTTCTCCCTAAAGGTGCTATTGGTATTCCATTTTACAACATGGTTCCTCTTTCTTTTCAGCTGAGCATTTTAGTTTACATGTCCTGTTTATGCCTTTTTACTTTGTTGCTCAGGGTGAACTTTGTATTCTCTTAATATGCCTTTGATTTCTTCTTCTGTCTTGAATGAACAGATTCTTTGAGATTCATAAAGGCGTCTACCGATGGCATAAAAAAGTCAGATAGTTCTTTTTCAAGTGTACACTCCGATGAGTTGATTGTTGACTCTGGAATTACAGAGGAACATGGACATCTAGATTCTGTCAAGGCAGCGACATTCCCAATAGAGAAGAAGAAAGAGGAGAAGCAAGAAGTCAATTTTGTTGATCAAGCCTCTAATCCAGATGCAACCACTAGACAAGTTCAGGAAAACACATTTCCTGTGCATAATGATACAAAAGTTGTTGGAAAGAGGACAAGCCGTGATTCCTATGATAACAAGTCTCAGAACAGGATACACGAAGCTGTATTTAAGGGAAAAAGCTTCTGCTTTTCAAAGAGCTTTCCTGCAGATAGGGTAAGCAATTGGAATCACATCTGTGACATACGTTCTTATGGTACTTTGGGGAAGTCCTCACCTTATTGTGCAACATTTGAGTTTCTAATTTTCCTTTCTCTCCTAATGGTAGTTCTAAATTGTCAATCTGCATGCTAGAACAAATCATCTTTGTCATTGAGTTTCAGTTGTGGTGCTCTATGATATCTTGGTAATCGCTTAACACATCGAACTGTTTTCTTGATTTTTCATTCAGAGAACGGAGATCGTTGAGTGGATCAACCAGGGTGGTGGTGCATTAGTTGATGATGAAGTGCAAAATGTGGATTTCACAATTGAATGCCATGGTATCATACCCACATCTATGCCCCACACTGCTTTTGTTTCCAGTCACTGGGTTCGTTCTTGTTTAGAGGTATGGTTCACTCACATGCCTAAGTGTCTGGTTCAGCCTTTTGTGTGCGAGTATTTATCACCTAATGGAGTAGCGTGGCTTCTTTCCATGGTGTATATAACATTTTTTAATTTTCTCATCATATGATGTCATTACTTCTTTATAACATGGAGTTGGATTATATCACTGGTTAAACATGATATTATACCTTGCTAATTGCTAATTTGATGCCTTCCAACATAGGATGGAATCCTGCTAGACATCGGCGGTCACATCCTCTATTCCCCTCTTCCATGTCAGGTTCCTTTGCCTGGTTTTGGAAGCTTCCGGCTTTGTGTTTCTCAGTTCAGCGAGAAAGACAAGTCCTTGTTCATAAACTTGTGTGTTGTTCTCGGAGCGAAATTTGCACACAAGTTGACAAGAAAGGTCACTCACTTACTCTGTAAGGAAACCTGTGGACCCAAGTATGAAGCTGCTTGTAGATGGGGGATACCCTCGGTTACAGCCGAGTGGATCTATGAGTGTGTCAGACAGGTACGGGTGGCTATCTACCCCTTGATTTGTGATATTGTAGATACGGGTGGCTAGCTGGTAGGGTTTCTGTCTAACCAGAACTCCAGAACCGATTATCCCCGTAAGTTTGGATGTGTGTTGGCATATGCTAGTCTTGTGCACAGCTACTTTCTGTAGTTTCCCAACATCTTCTTCTGTGATTATGGCAGAATAAAGTGGTTGAATTGGCTCCATTTCGCCCAAAAGAAGTTAGCCCGCAGGACCAGGAGACTGACTTAGCCAGTGTGAGCCAATTCCCTTCTGAAGATGTTTGGATGACACATGGAGAAACAACATCAGAGTTGAGAAGTCAGTCGCAAGACGTCACTGAGGCCCAAGTCTTAACTCTTAAGAACAAAATTAGCAGTATGGTGGGAGTGGCCACACAATCCATAAATCAGTCTAAAAAGGCACGTCATGTGGAAACTGATGACCGAACGAACCTGCCCTCTTCTCGAGTCTACTCAGGAGATTGTATAATGAACATGAACTCCAATGACGGTTTCAACAACATAAGCTCCACCATGGGCGGCAATGGCACAGACAGCAGAGATTCTTCCCATATTGTTCCCGATGTAGCTGCCGCTATTGAGGATTTATTAGAACAGACAAGCAAAGTAAAGTCACTGGCATTTGATCTTTTCTCTCTCTCTATTTATCTCAGAGGTCTAGGACTGACTAATGGTTTGATTTGTTATTGCTTTTTCAAGATTCACGAACATAAGTCACCTGAGAGAACTATTTGTGACAAAAGCGTATCCTTTTGCTTTTTCTTTTTGTGCATAAATATTTTTCTGTCCTCTGTTGAATCCTTAACTACGTAACAGCTTTACCAACCTCCTGAATGTCAAATGCTCAGTGATGACCATGGGGGCCCTTGTTCCGTCAGCGGGGTACCGAAGCAATGGTCGAACAGGTATCGTTCTTAATCATGAGAAATTGTGTCAAAACAAGTGGAAAAAAATATATGAGACTTGCTCTCTAGTTTGCATTGTCAAATACTTCCTCTTTTAGACATGTTCTCATCTTGACGTGCTTGCTCTTCGTGCAGGACTGGGAGAAGAGACGAATCATCCAAAGACACAAATAGAGGAATTTATGATGGTTTCAGCGAGACGCAAACGGATTCCCAGGTTGGAGGCATCTTCCTTACAGCTGGCTTGGTTGCTATAGACTTGACAAGCAGACAATGAATGTTGCATACATGCTGTGCCTGCAGGTTGTTAGTTATGAAGAAGACTTGACAGGCAGACAAATGCTTATCGATAGAGTTCGAACTCGAAGTAGCATGGCTTGAAGTAGGACACATATGCCAGTAAGGCACCTCTAGAACGACCATAAATGCCGCGTAGTATGCATTAGATGGAGTTTGAAAGAGAATGTGCTGCAGCTATCTCACTAAAGGTTAGCAGCACGTCTTATGAATTCTCACTCTAGTTTGAAAACCCTCCATTTTCCCTAACCTCTTAACGTGTGTCTTTTCCCAGGGTTGTCCACTCCACCTCATGGTGATCGGTGGTAGCGCAATGTTTTTTCCCCCTACTTTTTATTTTTGCTTTCCTCTGCTATTTCCGTCATTATGGCCATTCCCCTTTCCTTAAGTGTAATCGTCCCACAAGCCTGTTTTTGGAGATGTTTTGTTCTTTCTGATCTGGTTTCTCCAAATATGTGCTTGCATGGTGGTCGTTCAAGGGAGCCAAGAGGTTCTGTCTTTGGTTTGTGGTCTGTATCATAGTTGATGTGTTCATAGTTTCATACTCTTTGCTTCATAGTTAGTAAATACTCCGTTTAATACACGTATATGTACCCGTACGTACTTTATCCGTTTAAAACTTCCGTATCCGTATTTTTGTCAAGACGTTTCATTTTTGTCCGTTCATTTGGTGGCTCCCGTACTAAACACGTATAAAATCCGTATAACACGTTTTATATCCGTATTTAATGAATTAAATTGTTAACTTTACTATTATTTATATATTTATTTATTTTAAAAAATAATTTATTTTATATATTTATGACTACTAACGTACTATTAAACGTAACATTAGCTTAGAGATGAAGTAAAATACCCGTACGTATTATATCCGTAACTTTCCCGTACCGTATTTTACTAACTATGCTTTGCTTTACTCGATGTTCGCGGGTTTTTAGTGGATTAGTAGTCTTCATCTACAAGGGTACAGCAAATCTTCAGTGATTGTTGATTGCAAGGTTGTTTTCACTGTGGATGCTTTGCTTTGGGTCCGATGGTTGGTGTTTTCATCTTCTCTGTTGAATACATTCACCATCTTCCTCTACAAAGTTCTCTGGTGTTCTGCTTAGCTTCCTCATCCATCGTTTGAAGATGGTGACGATGTCTCTTTCGGTTGTCGTGACGGTAGCTCCATGTGTTCATGGTATTTGAAGAACTAGAATGTTTGCTTAGTGATGTTTTGGGAGTGGGCCTTTGCAATGTGTTCTATAAACGTGTTTGTTTGGATGAGTTATTGATTGTGGTATATGGTATTTGTGTCATTTGATAAATTTAGGTGTAGAAATGTCTTGCTTGAAATAATGAAATTTGTGAGTTATTTGCATGTAGTAATGTAGCATCATAAAAGAGAAAAGTGGAGGAAGGAATGACCGAATGAGTTATTTAAAAATAAGAGGGGTATTTAGAATAACTCGAGTTTCGGTTATTTAGATAAATAACTCATGAGTCATGAGTGAATTGAGTTGTTTGATGGTTTATTATGCCCCTCATTTAAATAACTAAATCAGTGCATTGGATTGTCAGATATATTATTTTTTGTAGCGAGCAACTTAAATTGCTTATATCTGCCATGAATGATAACTACTATTTGTTCCTGTGTCAAGCAAATGCTCCAAACTCGACAAGTTTGGGAAATATAAATGCAATTGTAGTGTGGAAATTATTTGTATTAGGTATATTAATTTGGGAAAAAATCACTAGCTCGTAGGGTAGGGTGCTCAAATGATTACCATGGTTATAACCAAACCAATTAAGCATAAATTTCATTAACTATGGAATAAAATGTCTTAACTAAAACATCCAAATTAAAACGGAAACCAAATTAACCAAATTAAACTTTAATTGGTTTGGTTAATCGGATAATTGGATTAACCAAATAATATAATATTACATAAAAACAATTATCATGTTAATGAATAAAACATAACCGTATGTTGTTACTATAATAAACTAGCATTATATATAAGCAATAATAATAAGACTAACCATCCATGATTATCATCATCATTCGAGTCAATACATCATTCATCATTTCTGCACCTAATATAGTTAGCTTACAACAAACCCCTTAACATAAATACATATCAATACCCCTCATCGGGAAGTTAAAAGTTAAAACTCTCCTACAAAACACTTAAACTATACATAGTTTGAGGTGACTATCATGGTATTGACTGTCATAGTTTGAGGTGGCTGTCATGGTATATATAAAGTCTAGTAGTTGTGCAAAATGTTTTGGGTTAGTAAATAGACAGACCCATTTAATTTTTTACCTATAATATTTTAGTTTGTTGTGCACATGAAAATAAAATAGGGAATCACGAAAGTTAGGTTTGGTTGGTTACATGAAAGTATAAATAATTTTGTATATCACCCTTATCTAAAAAAAAAAAACCAATATCACCCTTATCTAAAAAAAAAAAAAAAAATTTTGTATATAAGGTGTATTATTAATTGGTTAATTGGTTTCATTGGTTAGCAGTGTTGAAACCAAACCAAATCACTTAAACCAAATAAGCTAAATTGTTTAACTAAACCAAATCAATTTTTCAAATTAACCGAATGCTACCAGTTAATATGGTTACCACGGTAACCAATCAGTTTGAACACCCCTACTAACTCGAATGTGATTTTCATGTTGAGTGTTGACTTTAGTTTTGTTTGTGGACTTTGTTGTGGGCTTTCAACCTTGGTTGCTTTTCTTCTCTCCATGAGCCATATCCATTTTGCATCTCTTATGGATATTAGTGGACTTAACCTCATTTTTCCTACATATTATTGTGATAATGATATCAATTTTGATATATTTTGAAATAAAAAAATTGAGATATTTATTATCAGTCTATATCATGGTGATAATGTTTGGTATTTATATAAAATAATACCATATGGTATGGAAGTGTACTATGGTGGTAGAAAGAGTAGAATGTTTGAATACATGATAGTAGCAATATACAAACTGTTATTTATCAAATTTATCATTGTTTACCACCTGTTACCACTCTTATACTAGGGTGGTACATAGTGGTATATTTTGGTCGTGTATTTGTTTTTCCATAAATTTGTAGATCCAATAGATCACGATGAACTTATTCATTCTATGAAATTTGTTTTAAATTCGAGTTAAAAGCGAAAGTGGTATCAATATGGTAATTAGTGGTATTAATTTTCTTTCTAAAGTTATTGAAAATGGATCTCGTTTTGTAGATGACAACAAACTCGTTCCATCTGTGCAAATTTTTCTTGAAATCCAAGTTAGAATTAAGAAAATAATAGCCAATAAATAAAATTAGGAAAATAAAAACCCAACAATTCTCACCCCTTGGATATGCCCCCACTAAAACTAACGACCTAGATCTAATTATGCAAGGTGCATAAACAAAGGTTATGTACATTATCTTAAACCTATATATCTCTTAACCATCTCGATCCGTACACATTTACAAATATTCAAATTGATACTCGCTCCAAACTCATACAGGAAGATTTGCAACATCATTCCCATACTTGTGGTTTTTTTTGAATCAAAGGGTGATACCCGCCCCGTATATATGATATTACTATACCTAGAATTTGATATGTCTACCTTCAGTTATAAGTTATAAACGATAAATGCACATAACAAGTCATGAAATCAACGAAAACTAAAATCATTTTTAAGACAAATTCAAAGCATCCAATCCCGAAACATTAATTATTTTACAACTCCAACCCCACAGAAACAAACGCGCCAATGGAAACGCCCTGAAATCCATCCATCCATCCATCCATCCATCCGTCGACATTATCCAATCCAATGTAGGAAGAAAAGGGCATGTAGGCCCTCTAACTTCGCTTGCAGCAACAGAGTCACCCAACGTCCTTTTCTCCTTCCATCCAAACTGCGTTTCTTTTCCTTCAGTTTTTTCTTCCTCTTCCTTCTGCCATATATATAGCAGCCACGGAGGGACATCAGATATTGCAGAGCAAAATCCAAAATTTGTTATAAAAAAATCCCCAACCACCCATTTTCTTCCCCAAGCAAAACCCAATTGTTCACTTACTTGGCAGCGCGGTCTAGTACTCAAGTGTACCCACACCACATGGTGGCATCATGGCAGGCCTCTTCGTCTGCTCTTGCCACGCGTCCACCGCCGATATGACCCGATTCTCCCCTCCGGCCATCGGAGGCTGCTTTCTCTCCCCTCCCCCTACGGCTACTTCGAATGCGATGCTGCTGCATAAAGGAGATGCTGGTGGCGGGAACCTGCCGGGTATTGGCTCGTCGGAGATACGGAGGAAGCGGCGGGTTAAGCGGAGGCGGCAGCTCAAGTTCGTCGTCTCCGCGGAGGTTTCTAAGTCCTTCTCCTTGAATTTGGGGTTTCAAGACACTCAGGTTTTCAAAATTCTCCTCCTTCCCTTGTTAATTTCCCTCTCAAGTGGCTGTCTTTCTGAGTTTTTGTTTGCAATGTGTCCTCGTTTTTGTTGTTGTTGTTGTTGTTGTTGCCTTCTCCGCCTCTATTGACGCTGTGGTGTTTGATGAAATGCATCTGTGAAAGCTTTGGCAGTGGCTTTGCCTTCTTTCTTTTGGGTATACCTGGTTTCATCAGTTCTTTTGGAACTTGTTGCCTCCTGCATATCACAATTTGTGTGTTTGAATGATTTAAACTATGAAAGCTGCAATTTTTATGTTTACATCCAGTTTACGTGGTGGATATGGAATATTGCGTTCATTGGAAGCTAGGAATCTTGTTGGGACGCCATTCATTGCCATCTGATACCGCTGCTCGTCTGATTGCTGTTTGATGCTGTTCTATTTGCAGGTCACCATTTTGCTTATTCTTGTTGTTGAATTTGAACTTGCAACGTGTAGGTTCTTTTTCTTCTTCTTAACAATGGGTTTGGGTTGGTTTCTAAATAGTAGTTACGCATTCCATCTTGGAAGTTTAAGTTAGTTAACTGGAACACTCGAAAGGAATATAGATGATCGCAGGCAGTTAAGTGAAGCCTTCTATTCTGTTCCTATCTTTCAACGTTCGACCAGAAATATGGAGGTGGACTGTGTGGAAAAATAAAAGTATCAAGTTTCCATTTTCATATGGCTTTATTAAAGCTAATCATAGATAATTGCTTTTTCATGTTCAAGTGGCAAAGTAGCTGCTTCTTCTCGTTGCCTGTTGCAGTCTCATCTCTTGACTCTCCGCACATGCTTTTTGTTTGTTTCTCTTGCCTGGTGAATTTAATCAATATGATGCAGTTCTTTTAATAGGATTATTGCAACTTGTACTGATATGGCTTCATCTTAACTAGAAGCATTACCAGCCTCATGACTTGTCACAGTCACCTTGGATTGGTCCGATTCCAGGGGATATTGCTGAAGTTGAGGCATATTGCAGAATTTTCAGAGCAGCTGAACGGCTTCATACTGCATTGATGGACACATTATGCAATCCAGTGACTGGGGAATGTAGTGCTCCATACGATTTCCCAGCAGAGGAAAAACCTATGTTGGAAGATAAAATTGTATCTGTCCTTGGAGCTGTTCTATCGCTTCTTAACAAAGGAAGGGAAGATGTTCTTTCTGGACGGTCCTCGGCCATGAGTTCCTTTCGTATCTCAGACGTGAGCACGATGGAGGATAAGCTTCCACCGCTTGCTATTTTCAGGAGTGAGATGAAAAGATGTTGCGAAAGTCTGCATGTTGCTCTTGAAAACTACTTGACACCTGATGGTGATCGAAGCCCGGAGGTGTGGAGGAAGCTGCAAAGGTTGAAAAATGTTTGCTACGATTCTGGCTTCCCTCGTTCCGATGCATATCCTTGTCATACAGTGTTTGCAAATTGGAATGCTGTTTATTCATCAACTTCAAAAGAAGAAATAGCAACAGAGACTTCTGAGGTACAGTTTTGGATGGGTGGGCAGGTTTCAGAGGAGGCCTTGAAGTGGTTGTTAGAAAAGGGATTTAAGACTATTGTAGATCTTAGAGCAGAAACCATAAAGGACAACTTTTATGAAGCAGCCATAGATGATGCTATTTTGGCTGGGAATGTAGAACTAATTCGAATTCCCATTGAGGTTGGGACTGCACCTTCAGCAGAGCAGGTTGAAATGTTTGCCTCGCTGGTTTCAGATTTCAGCAAAAAGCCGATATACCTTCATAGCAAAGAGGGAGTGCAGAGAACATCTGCGATGGTGTCCAGGTGGAGACAGTACATGACTCGAAAGCCATCTCAATTCACCACTCCTAGTGGTATGGTGGTACCGGATGCAGGTGAAATGGGAGAAAAGGCGCTCCTAAACCAGGAAAATGGATCACCTACACAGGCTCTGCGTAAGATTTACTCTTCCAATGGATTATCTCATGGTGAAGCTGACTCTTCAGTTATAGACGGGAAAGGTCAGAGCATCAATGGTACACTGAACGGTCTGGATTTCGCTCATGTATCTTTGGAAACCATTGATAAAGAGGTAGGATCCTTATCAGATGCTGGTTGGGTAACTGACCCTCTAAACTCTCAGTTACCTCCTTGCGATGTCTTCTCCAAGGCAGTGATGTCAAGTTTCATGAAGAGTAAAAAGGTCTCACCTTCCGCTTTCTCAAAGCATCAATCCACAAAGGTTAAGAAGTTTACTGTTTTGAGAGACGGAAAAATTGGGAAACAAATTCATGAGATACCAGAGCTTTTCGAGAGAACAAATGGATTGGGAACTAGTAGGAGCTCGTCCCCAGGCTCTCAGAGATCACTTGTTGGTGAGAAGCACCTGAATAGTAGCAATGGTCAACCTTTTGTGGGTGCTGATGTGAATGCCTTCAATGCACATGAGAGGCATTCCATTTTGCAAAATGGTGTCTCTACTAGTGTAAATAAAAGCTTAAGTGAGCATGTTAGATGTAATTCTGTTAAATATGATTTGGAGAGCGCAGATGTAGGCCATTCGTCAAGCTCCAGTGATGATGAGATGGGCTCATTGGGAGGAGACATGTGTGCTTCTACGACTGGTGTGGTAAGGATACAGTCTAGGAAAAAAGCAGAGATGTTCCTGGTACGCACAGATGGATTTTCCTGTACAAGAGAAAAAGTTACTGAATCTAGCTTGGCATTTACTCACCCAAGTACCCAGCAGCAGATGCTCATGTGGAAAACTCCACCCAAGACGGTATTGTTATTGAAGAAGCTGGGACAAGAACTCATGGAAGAAGCCAAAGAGGTACTGTGGTGTCCTGCTCATTATTTATATGAGTGTTACGAGTTCAAAAATATTTCTGGAACCTAGAAGTATTACGAATTTGATAATGACTATGCAATTTGCATATAGATTTAGTTTTGGTACATGGACCTGCATACTTGCTATGGTTCAGGCCGCAAACTTTCTGATGGTCATTGACTTCATATATAGGAACTGCATAGAAGGTTATAGCCTTTTGACTTGACCTTAGGAAATGCTTTGTTAGGTCTTACCTTGTTTATGAGCTTTCATGATATAAAACTGGCGCGGAACTGCACTTGCTAACCAATTGAGGGTTCAGTTCCTATTCTCATTTAACATTGATGGAATGGAGCTTGATTAAGGCTGTTTTTTATCCTGATCTAGAACTACTAAGCCTAGTTGTCAGATCAATCACTCTCCAGACCAGTGATTCTCTATCAAGTGCCATCTTTAGGGTGCATATTCATTTGTTGAAATGTGGCTCCAGTTAGCAAGGTCTACTATTTATGACATGATATATTGTTAAACGCCGTATCCTTTATGTCTGGAGCATGCAGTTATGTGTAGATTGTCAGTGTATTCTTAGAATTTGTCCCTGTTTCTTGGAAAGAATCAGCTACTTTCCCCCTCCAATGTCAGAAGATGAGTTACGTTGATAAAGAGAGTTCATCGAATCACCTGATATATGATTTAGTTCGAACTAAATTCTGCATTAACATGCAGGTGGCTTCTTACTTATATCACCAAGAAAATATGAATGTCATCGTGGAACCGGATGTTCACGATATATTTGCTCGAATGCCAGGGTTTGGCTTCATTCAAACCTTTTATAGTCAAGATACAAGGTAATCATCTTAATGTCAATTGAAAAGATATGCTATATTCATGTGTAATTAGCTTCCACACATAGCAGGTTTCTAGTTCCTATTCCTAAGCTTGGTGTCCACTTGGTGCAGTGATCTTCACGAGAGGATTGATTTTGTGGCATGCTTGGGAGGTGATGGTGTTATACTTCATGCATCTAATTTGTTCAGAGATGCTGTTCCTCCTGTTGTTTCATTTAATCTTGGATCGCTTGGTTTTCTCACTTCTCATAGTGTAAAATCTTCAGATCCTTTTCTCATTTGTTATTGTACTGCTTCTTGTCCCTTCCAACTGGCTGTTTAGCAAACTGATACTTTTTCGGTTTTTTATTCTTCTGGGTGTAGTTTGGAGACTACAGGAAGGACCTAAGAAAGCTGATCCACGTGAACAACACGGTTGGTGTGTATATAACTCTCCGGATGCGTCTAAGGTGTGAAATCTTTCGCAAGGGACAAGCAGTCCCTGGGAAAGTAGTTGATGTCCTGAATGAGGTGGTTGTTGATCGGGGTTCAAATCCATACCTTTCCAAGATTGAATGCTATGAACATGACCGACTTATAACCAAGGTTGGATATCATTCTCCTCGACCCAAGTCTTCGTTACAGAGACATCAGAGTGTTTAATATTAAAAGGGGGGAATTAGGTCCTCATTATTTGGCCCTGCATGCTTCTTGTCTCTCCCCTTTACGAATTCAGTCTCTTTTTAGGTGCAAGGTGATGGAGTAATTGTGGCAACTCCTACTGGCAGCACTGCTTACTCTACTGCAGCTGGAGGGTCCATGGTAAGAACTTCTTTCCCCTCTTTTTCTAATTCGTGCCTTGCATAGCATTTAGCAAGACCTAATTTTTTATTGATCTCAGTTACTCTGTTGCTGACTGTTCATTGACATGTGAACGTTAAATTTAAAGCTGAAAGTTAAACGCTGTGCTGAAATGCTTTTTGTTCAGGTGCATCCAAATGTTCCTTGTATGCTCTTTACTCCAATTTGCCCCCATTCCCTCTCCTTCAGGCCAGTCATACTTCCAGATTCCGCGAGGCTCGAGTTGAAGGTAGATAGAAGGGGAAAATGTCATCTCTATTTCAGCTAAAGGATCTAGTTCTGATCAAAAGTGCATTTTTACTGAAACAGATTCCAGAGGATGCTCGCAGCAATGCGTGGGTTTCATTCGACGGGAAGAGAAGGCAGCAACTATCGAGAGGAGATTCGGTCAAGATATCGATGAGCCAGCACCCACTTCCTACTGTTAACAAGTACGACCAAACCGGTGACTGGTTTCACAGCTTGATTCGCTGTCTCAACTGGAACGAAAGGCAAGATCAGA